AACAGACAAGAGAAAAGGCAGAGGGCTCAGGCTACTGCAAAATCAGCCGGACAGCACTGGGTGAGGTCCCGAGTGGAAGGCAGTGAGCAGCCATGCCTAAAAGGCATGCTCCCCGGGGCCGCTGACTGCACAAGAGCATCTCAACCAGCACTCTGAGATCTGGGCCGCCCATGACAAGCCTGTTTGTAGATCCTCTTTATAAAATTGGCTACAGGGCTCATCTCCAATCTTCTACTCAAATTCGCTTTTTTTTTTTTTTTTTTTTTTTGAGACTGAGTTTCGTTCTTGTTGCCCAGGCTGGAGTGCGGTGGTGCGATCTCGGCTCACTGCATCCTCTGCTTCCCAGGTTCAAGCGATTCTCCTGCCTCAGCCTCCCAAGTAGCTGGGATACCACCACGTGGTGCACAAGTAGGTGCACCACCACGCCCGGCTAAATTTGTTGTATTTTTAGTAAAGATGGGGTTTCACTGTATTGGTCAGGCTGGTCTCAAACTCCTGACCTCAAGTGATCCACCTGCCTCGGCCTCCCAAAGTGCTGGGATTACAGGTGTAAGCCACCGCGCCTAGCCTAAATTATCTTTATTCTGTTTTTACTTTCAGTTAAGAAGGTTATTTTGGAAAGGGAGACATGTGTGTCTCCTGTATTATAATTAAGCTAAAACAACAACTAAGGCCTGGAGCCCACATTGTCCCCACAGCAGCACCCACAGGGCCACCGCTCTGGCAGCCTCCCTCAAGCCAAGTCAAAGTCCCACCAGCACACAGAAAAAAATAGATCCCCATGCCGTATGCCTCTCAGCTTGTCAGCAATGCAGTGTTGCTGTTTTCTGCTCCTGGGCTGTAGGGGAAATGGTTGAGCTTCCTAGCAGGCAGCTGTGGTAAATAATGAGTTCTAAGGAAAATCAGATACCAAACTTCTTGGGAGCTACGAGGCAAAGGGCAGGGCGGTGGCGGTGACAGACAGTGTTTGTGTAACCCTCCTCCACCCTCTCACCTGACACACACAGAGTTTTCTCTTTCATGACTGTTTTTTAGCCTCTTTTTCCCTTTCAACCACCGACCACTCAATTCTTTGAGGGAAAATTAACATTCATTATGCAATTTATCTCTCTCCTTTTAATCCAGAGTGTCTGTCTCCAAGGTCCCTACTCAATAATTAATGTTTGTTCTCATTTCCCATTCTCCAGAGCATCTATTCTTGAACCGTAGGGTCAACAATTAACACTAATTACGGCTTTTCCTCTCTCCAGTGTTGGTGCTCAGAATCCCAGGCCGCCTGCTCAGCCTCAGCCATCCACGCGCACGTGACGGTGTGTGTGCCCTGAGACGCAGGAGCACCGAGAGGCAGGCTTTACCAAGCCCCACTGCAGTTTAGCAAATCAATAAGACCCAAACATTCTTTCTTGGCATCCTCTCTAGTCTATTTGTTATCGGTAATGAGACAATGAAGCAAAAAAATAAATAAATAGAATTATTTGGAGATGAGTTTGGTGGCTAGGTAGACTAAAAGATCTCTAAGTCTTTTCCGTTTGAATTTTCTAGGATTCCTTTTTTTCTTCTCTATTGCTCTCTCCCTGATATCTCACATCTCCCTCTCCCTTCTCTCTCTCTCTGCTTCTCTCTCCCTCTCATACAAACACACCAAATTTCCCTTTAAAAACCTTTCTTCCCGCTGGGCACGGTGACTCACGCCTGTTATCCCAGAACTTTGGGAGGCAGAAGCAGGTGGATCAGCTGAGGTCAAGAGTTCGAGACCAGCCTGGCCAACATGGTGAAACCCTGTTTCTACTAAAAATACAAAACAATTAGCCGGGTGTGGTGGCAGGCGCCTGTAGTCCCAGCTACTTGGGAGGCTGAGGCAGGAGAATTGCTTGAACCTGGGAGGTGGAGGTTGCAGCCAGCCGAGATTGTGCCATTGACATCAGCCTGCTGACAGAGCGAAACTCCGTAAAAAAAAAAAAAAAAACCCTTCATATAGGACCCACTCAATTGACATCCTTGCTATTACCTCTCCCTTAACTTTCACAAGTCTGTCATTCTAATTCTCATCAGTCATTAAGACAGCATTGTTTTAAGTAATTTTCATTTTGACTGACAAGGACAGCTAAGAGAATAATTCTCACCCCAGGTGACTAGCAGATCGCAAAAAAAAAAAAAAAAAATTCATCAGGGGCTGTGAAAAAGCCTGTCTGTCTTTTGGCTAGAATCAGACGGACTAGAATCCCTCCTGGCTCCCCTGGTCCAACACTCTGTTTGTGCTACAACCAGAGAGGGGGGCTTTTTGTGCTTGTCTGTCATCCCCCATGGCTGCACACACTGAGACACAGCTGCTGTTCAAATCTGGGCATCTTGCAGCATGTGTCAAACGTTAACTGTTTCATGATCTTGTTTTGTCAAAAGTTCTCCTTACAGAATTTTATCATCATGGACCCTACAGAATTTTACCTTTAAACATCTTGGATAAAAACCTTATTTTCCTCAATGCTTTTTTAATCCTAGATCAACCTTCTCTCCAGAATATCATCTGTGGATTTTCAAAAACATCCAATTCTAGGCCGGTGTGGTGGCTCACGCCTATAATCCCAGCACTTTGGGAGGCTGAGGTGGGCAGATCACTTGAGGTCAGCAGTCGAGACCACCTTGGCCAACATGACGAAACCCCACCTCTACTAAAAATCCACAAAATTAGCCAGACGTGGCGGCACATGCCCGTAATCCCAGCTAGTCAGGTGGCTGAGGCAGGAGAATTGCTTGAACCCGGTAGGCAGAGGTTGCAGTGAGCCCAGATCGTGCCACTGCACTACAGCCTGGGCAGCGGAAAGAGACTCCATCTCAAAAAGTAAAAAAAAAAAAAAAAAACAAAAAACAAAAAATCCAATTCATTGCAAAGCTTAAACATCGAGGCAACCACTTCATGTTTTCCCCTGTCTTCGGATAAGGGAATAAATTTTTACAAGACTTTTTCCCTCTCTCAGATAAAATATCTTATTGTTTTTCAGCCTATGAATCTGTCAATTCAAATATCAGCCATAAAGAGGACGGGCCTAGTAGTCAGCATTTCCTAAAAGGTAAGCTTTTCCCCTGAAAAGTTACCTCTACTTCTCTAGGTAATTTGACTCATGATCATATTATTTCATATATAGACCTCCAGAAACCCACAATTTCTCCCCAAATATACCAATACGTAGCAGAGAGGATTTACTTCTTGGAAAGCCTGAGAAATGTGTTGTTCTCATGAGTTACTCATGGGTAGCCCCATGGTCTGAGTATAGATATTAGTGAGGAAGAGACATCGGATGGAACCAAGTGCTTATGCTTAGCTGGCCTGGGGAAGGATAATTTGCAGGGATGTCCTGTGGGTTCTGAAGGTAATCCACTGCACAGTTCCCTAAATAATGAGGTAGACATTGTCCCCTGGAGTTGTGCATCCCTCACCCTGCACACACCACAAGCTAGGAGCCGATCTGGGAAAGACTCAGGCTTGTATTTTCAATAGATGACTGAGGCCAGGTCTGCCTCTCCTCAGATTCCTTTTCTATTTCATTTCCCCCATGGAGAGATCTGCAAACACTGGGAGTATAGGTTGACTTTGTAGCTCATCCTCCACCCACAGATATGGCTGCTGCTGCTTCAGACCAAGGAAAGGATGATGACCTGGAGACTTTCTCTCCTAAAAATAGTCTTTGATTAACAGAGAAATGTGTGTGGTCTTCCTGGCTACTTTTTTTTTTTTTTCCGAGCTGCAGTTTCGCTTTTGTCAGTCTCGGCTCACTGCAACCTCTGCCTCCCAGGTTCAAGCAATTCTCCTGCCTCAGCCTCCCGAGTAGCTGGGATTACAGCCGCCTGCCACCACGCCTGCCCAATTTTTGTATTTTTAGTAGAGACGGGGCTTAACCATGTTGGCCAGGCTGGTCTCGAACTCCTCACCTCGTGATCTGCCCGCCTCAGCCTCCCAAAGTACTGGGATTACAGGCATGAGCCACCACTCCCAGCCTCCTGGCTGCTTCTTTTGGGGCTGGGCAGCAATGAATCCTGCATGAAGAAGCTGCTGAAGGAACAGGCAGGAGGCAGTGCCACAGATCAAGGGCTGTAGGCAAATCAGGGTGGAAAGATTGTTTGTGCCAGAGATTGCAAAACTAAGAGAAAAGGCACAATCATATCCTTGCCAATCTCAAAATCTGTAAACAGAGAAATACCTGGGAGTCTGGCCCTCTGCACTCCCCTCTGCCATCTTCCTTGGGCAGACATCCTGACGAAAGTAGAAAGAGTTTCCATGCCGTTTTTGCTCAGTCTCATGCATTGGTTAGAACTGGGCCAGAACAGCTCTTAAACAGGAGCCCTCAGTAAAAATGATGATGATGTTGGTGGTGGTGGTGACAGCTACTGTTATATATCCCTGATACGCCAAACATCATGCTGAGTGCTTTGCATTCATTATTTCATTTCATCCCCACAGCAATGATAGGAGATAAATCCTATTATTATCTTCATTTTTCATCTAGGACAATGTGGCTCAGAGAGGTTAAGTGATTTGCCCAAGGTCACACAAAGTAGTGAAGTTAGGATTTGAAACCAAGGAACCTGTATATTTATGACTAAGCATGGTTCATAGTGGCATCAGTCTAAAGAGGGGCAATTCCATCCGACAATATATGAGGGTTTAGGAAGTCCTTGACTTAGTAATGACCCATGCAAACAAATGGCTTCTGTCCAACCTCCATTTCCCCCTCCAATTCCCCCTACTCAGCATCAGACACCCTTTTGTGGGTAACACTAAAAAGGATTTGCAACTTTCAGAGATATCATAGGGAGAAGAGGAGAAGCTAGAAAACAAAAAAAAGTAACAGTTTGGGAGAATCAAAGTCCTGAAACAAATTTTCAAGCAAGATAAGCCTGATTACAGGCTAGCTCTGCAAACCAAAATATTCTTTCTAATAGCACCTAAAATGTTACCATTTCCCTTCATTCTACCATTAAAATCTCACCGATAAAAGACTTACCGTGGTTTAAGAAGTATCCTCTTAAGATTCTGAAACTTCAGAGAGGTGAATAGTCTGTCACACTTTAGTAAAAGTATATTTAATCAGATAGTTGCTCTCTTGCAGCCTAGCTAGGAACAGCTGCTCTGAGGGACTAAAAATTCTGATGGGGTGGAAACAAAGGTGAGTAATTTGGAAGTACATAGAGCTTCAAGGGTTGAAACATGCCTGGCCCATGGAGTGCCCCAGGGGGCTCGGATGAACAGCAGAACATCGGCTGCATGGAGAAGGGGACACTAGAAGGAGAAAAGTACAGAAGGGGCCGTGGCAGCACACCAAAGACTAACTTAGCCTTTTACAGGGGGCCTCGCAGCAAGCTCTAGATCCACGAAAAGGAGAGAATGTTTTGATCCTCTCGCCTCTATTCCTAGTAACTAAAAGACCTTGGACTAATGCAAATCTCCTTCCTGTTTCCAAGCTTTAGAACATACTGTTCCCTCTGCCTGGAGCACAGTTCCTCATCTCCTCCTATCCAACATTTTTTAATTGTGGAAAAATACACATAACTTAAAATTTGTCATCTGAACCATTTTTACTGTACAGTCCAGTGGTGTTAAGTACATTCACATTATTGTGCAACCAGTCTCCAGAACTCTTTTCATCTTGCAAAACTGAAACTTTATACCCATTAAACAACTCCCCCTTCTCCCTCCCCTAGCCCCTGGCAACCACCATTCTACTTTCTGTTATCCCCGACTTTTACCCCTTGTCCTAGTTAACTCCTGCTAATCCTTTACTTCCCGATTTAATTATCAAACTGACCTCCCCATGAAGGGTTTTCTGCTTTCCCCTCGCCCTCCTCCCCTCCCTGCCGATGGGGTGACACCCACCCTCCACATGTGCACAATGAACCATGCTTACCCAGTTACAGTCACAGCTGCTCACTCACCGCATTGGCCACTGACTAGACTTTTCTCTCCTTAAGACTGCAAGCTCTCTTCTCTGCTCTGCTCTGCTCTGCTCTTCTCTTCTCTTCTCTGCTCTGCTCTGCTCTGCTCTGCTCTTCTCTTCTCTTCTCTTGTCTTCTCTTCTCTTCTTTTCTTTTGACAGGGTCTCCCTCTGTTGCACAGACTGGAGTGCAGTGGCTGGATCTCAGCTCACTGCAGCCTTGACTTCCTGGACTCACGCGATCCTCCCATCTCAGCCTCCTGAGTAGCTGGGACTATAGGTGCTTGCCATCATGCCTGTCTTTTTTGTTTGTTTGTTTGTTTGTTTGTTTGGTAGAGATGGGGTCTCACCATGTTGCCCAGACTGGTCTCCAACTTCTGGGCTCAAGCCATCTTCCCACCTCGGCATCTCAAAGTGTTGGGATTACAGGCATGAGGCACCACACTCAGTCACTAGACTGCAATCTTTTTAAGGGCAGGGGCCCACCAGCAACGCTATTACCTGGTAATATGCTGCTAACACACACCTACTGTCAGTGCAGCATAAGCATTTAATGATTGAAAGGTTTAGCTACAATATGGGTGAAACAGGCCTTTTTTTTTTCAGGTTGACTTGGAAACTTAATCACTATGCAAAACAGTCTCCGCAGGAAAATGCATTCCACATAGAGGCATAGGGTGCCTCTTTCACAACTTAGAACCTTATTTGTTCCCTTGATTTGCCCATTGACCTTAACAAAAACATTTTTACATCACTTTGTGCTTAATATTCCCCATTTGTTGCTAAGGGAATAGATAGAATATTACTTTGAAAATATCTGGGCCAGGCACAGTGGCTCACACCTGTCTGTAATCCCAGCTATTCAGGAGGCTGAGGCAGGAGAATTGCTTCTCCTGCCAGAGGCAGGGTTGTGGAGGCAGAGGTTGCAGTGAACCGAGATCACACCATTGCACTCCAGCCTGAGCAACAAGAGCAAAACTCCATCTCAAAAAACAAATAAATAAATAAATAAAATACCTGATATCCCCCTGGAACTGAGTTCAAAGACCAATTTAAAACATCTATTCATTGGAACACCTATAGAGCTTTCATAAGTTTTTTTTTTCTTTTTTTTTGAGACAGAGTCTCACTCTATTGCCCAGGCTGGAGTGCATGGCACAATCTTGGCTCACTGCAACCTCCATCTACCAGGTTCAAGTGATTTTCATGCCTCAGCCTCTCTAGTAGGTGGGATTACAGGCGCATGCCACCATAACCAGCTAATTTTTGTAATTTTAGTAGAGATAGGGTTTCACCATGTTGGCCAGGCTGGTCTCGAACTCCTGACCTCAGGTGATCCACCTGCCTAAGCCTCCTAAAGTGCTGGGATTACAGGCATGAGCCTAGAGTTTTCACAATTTTTTGTTTTCTTTGTGATCATTTCATTTTAATTAATATTTTCAGGTAAAAGTGATAGGATTCTAAAAGGATTGTGTAGATAGTAGACTTCTTTGGGTATTTATGGACATGAAGGTTGATTTCAGCTATTTGAAATGACCTCAAATATCAGAGAACTGGCATGGTGTGGTGGTTCATGACTGTAATCTCAACACTTTGGGAGGCCAAGGTGGGAGGATTACTTGAGGCTAGGATTCAAGACCACCCTGGCCAACATAGCAAGACCCTGTCTCTAAAAAAATTAAAATTAAAAATAAATAAAACATCAGGGACACACACAATTTGTCATTTTACAGAGGCATGGAGTCAAATCATTGATATGGCAAGGCTGGGAGACAGAAGACTATTACTAAGCTAGTGAGTGAGCCTAGCCAGCCTCGCAGCACTCACACATCTTATACTGTGGTCTATAATTCATTATAACATCTGCAATAGCTCTTGTGCAGTTACTTTTCAACAGAAGAACATTGATTTCTTTATATATACATATATACACACACATGCATTTTTAATGGCCCTAAAAAAAAGCTGACTGCTGGGACTCGTGATGGAAGTAAAAGAAAGTGAAATGGTCTAACAATGTGATGGTTCTCTGCCAAAAAAATAGTTTAATAAATCACACTAAGCCTTTATTTATAGTCTCATTAACAGTCTGAAGAACTCTCTCTCTTTTTTCAATTCTTCTTTAGTTTTATTACCAATAGATACACACTAGGGGTATTCACAAATCTAAGGATTCTTAAAATTCTCAGGATGTGTCCTTCCCAAGTAGCCAGGATCTGCTGTTCACTTAATGCATGATATGCACGAGGGATCAGGACCTTGCCCAAGTAGTGAAGTAATACTTAGCACAATGCATTTTAAAGCAGGTATAGATCTTAGAATTTTGTGTGTGAGTTATATTTCACAACCTATATTAAAGTTGAGAAGATTAAATTTTCTTCTGTCAGAGTGATCAAAAAATAATAACTTTCATTAACTAGTAATTTATAAATAGTATTTTCTGTTTAATCACCCTTCAGACATTTGTGTTGTCTTCTCATCACAACTATAAAGAAGCATAAGGCCGGTCGCGGTGGCTCACACCTGTAATCCCAGCACTTTGGGAGGCTGAGGCAAGTGGATCACTTGAGGTCAGGAGTTCGAGACCAGGTTGGCCAACATGGTGAAACCCCGTCTCTACTAAAAATACAAAAATTAGCCAGGCATGGTGGCAGGTGCCTGTAGTCCCAGCTACTCTGGGGGCTCAGGCAGGAGAATCACTTGAACCCAGGAGGCAGAGGTTGCAGTGAGTCGAGATCGCACCACTGCACTCCAGCCTGGACAACAGAGCGAGACTCCATCTCAAAAAAATAAAATATAAAAAAACAAAGAAAGAAGCTTTTTTGTGGCTTTTCTTAAGGATGTTTCCCACCTAGTTTCTCTCTTGCTCCTTTCATACATCTCTCTGTGGCCTAAGGATTTTGCTACTGTCTTGGTTTCCCCATAATCCCTCCTTTAAAAGTTAATGTAAACACCAGAATCAGACTGTGTTCAACAGAAAGAATCTGTGAGTATGTTTTCTTGTTTGTTTATTTTGAGACGGAGTCTGGCTCTCGTTGTCCAGGCTGAAGTGCAATGGCACAATCTCGGCTCACTACAACCTCTATCTCCCGGGTTCAAGCCATTCTCCTACCTCAACCTCCCAAGTAGTTGGGATTACAGGCGCATACCACCACACCTGGCTAATTTTTTGTATTTTTAATAGAGATGGGGTTTCACCATGTTGGCCAGGCTGGTCTCAAACTCCTGAGCCCAAGTGATGTTCCTGCCTCGGCCTCCCAAAGTGCTGGGATTACAGGCGTGAGCCACTGAGCCCAGTCTGCATGTTTTACAAAGCAGAAAGATATTGCTCATTCATTCATTCATTCAACAAACACTAATTGTCCATCTACTAGTGACAAATACTATGGTAGGCACAAAAATACAGTTGAGAGACCATGTCCATGCCTTAAAGTAGTCCACAGCAGTGGAATGTGTTGAGAGCTATGAATGAGTTCAGACTGACTCAGCCTGGAGGTTGAGAAGGCTTTTGGAAGAAGAGGACACTTAAGCAGAGTTTCTAAGGATGTATGTGGGAACTAGCCGAGTGGTAAGAAAGGATGCTGTAGGAGAAAGGACAATATAAATGTGAGAGAGCATGGCAGCATGGAGAAACTGAGGCAACTTGTAATGACTGTACCCCAGGGTACACGCAGGGGAAGGAGTGATGAAAAATACACCTTGAGAAGGAGGCAGAAGCCAGATCATGAAGGGCCATAGAAAGCAGCTAAGAGGCCGGGCGTGGTGGCTCACACCTGTAATCCCGGCACTTTGGGAGGCCGAGGCAGGCAGATCACCTGAGGTCAGGAGTTTGAGACCAGCCTGACCAACATGGAGAAACCCCATCTCTACTAAAAATACAGAATTAGCCAGGCATGGTGGTGCATGCCTGTAATCTCAGCTACTTAGGAGGCTGAGGCAGGAGAATCGCTTGAACCTGGGAGGCGGAGCTTGCAGTGAGCCGAGATCATGCCATTGCACTCCAGCCTGGGCAACAAGAGCGAGACTCCATCTCAAAAAATTTTTTTTAATTGAAAGCAGCTGAGGAATTCACGCCAATGGCGGTAGGGCTCTGCTTACATAGGAATTGGCATCACCAGATTTTTATTTTATAGAAATGACTCCCAGCTATGTAGAGAATGGATTGGAGGAGATAAGACTAGAGACTGGGACCCCAGATATCTTTATTTGTTTGAGAGCAAGTGACCACAAATAATATTTTCTGGCCAGGTGCAGTGGCTCACACCTATAATCCCAGCACTTTGGGAGACCAAGGCGGGCAGATCACCTGAGGTCAGGAATTTAAGACCAGCCTGGCCAACATGGCAAAACCCCATCTCTACTGAAAATACAAAAATTAACCAGGCGTGGTGGCACATGCCTATAATCCCAGCTACTCGGGAGGCTGAAGCAGGGAGAATTGCTTGAACCTGAGGTTATAGTGAGCCAAGGTTGTGCCACTGCACTCCAGCCTGGGTAACAGAGCGAGACTTCTCTAAAAAAAAACAAATATATATATATATGTGTGTGTGTGTGTATATATATATTTTTTCTGGAGAACAGAGACCACC